AAAGTGTGTCGACTTGCAGTCTGTGGCCAGTCTCAGGTGAAGGTTCAAATGATAATGCAGATAGCAGATCCGCTCGTTTCCTAGTTAGAAGTTCTCATGAACTTTGAAGGATCCTTAAATTTTTCCTCCAACATTTAAATTAATGAGCCGAAGACGTTTTCGAGATGCTTTATTAAAAAGCTTCTGATGAGTATGCAGATATTTCCACTCGTATCCGAATTGGAAGGAAACGCTAGTAAATTTTAACCGCTCTTTAAATTTTCGGCTGTTTATTTTTTACAGGTAATTAATTAACTTTGGGTCAAATCTAAGGAGCATTAGACAGAATCGCTTGTTTAAAAAAGTGTATGCATATATTTCCGCTCGTTTCTGAGTTAGAAGCTTTCTTAAGCTCCGATCGCACTTTAAATTTTTGGCTCTTAGCTTTTTAAAGACTGGAAAACTTTTGTAGAATCAAATGAGGTAACGACAGTTTTCTGGATTCTCGATGGAAAATGTTCCAACGAGAATTCGAATATTCTCATTTTTTTTACTCATTTCCGAGTTAGAAGTTCTCTTAAACTTCGACGCCTCTTTAACCTTTTGGCTCATAACTTTTTAACGATTGGGAAATTTGTGTAAAATCGAACGAGCTAAAGACAGTTTCCTCGAGTCTCTATTGAAAATGTTCCAACGATTATTCGAATATTTTCTCTCATTTCCGAGTTACAAGTTCTCTTAAACTTCGACGGCTCTTTAAATTTTTGGCTCTTAGTTTTTTAATGATTGGGAAATTTGTGTGAAATTCAATGAGCTAAAGAGAGTTTACTGGAGTCTCTATTGAATGTTCCAACGATTATTCGAATATTTTCTCTCATTTCCGAGTCAGAAGTTCTCTTAAACTTCGACGGCTCTTTAAATTTTTGGCTCTTAACTTTTCAACGATTGGGAAATTTTTGTAAAATCCAATGAGCTAAAGACGGAGTCTCTATTGAAAATGTTCCAACGATTATTCGAATATTTTCTCTCATTTCCGAGTCTGAAGTTCTCTTAAACTTCGACGGCTCTTTAAATTTTTGGCTCTAAGTTTTTTAATGATTGGGAAATTTGTGTGAATTTCAATGAGCTAAAGACAGTTTCCTGGAGACTCTATTGAAAATGTTCCAACGATTATTCGAATATTTTCTCTCATTTCCGAGACAGAAGTTCTCTTAAACTTGTTTGGTCAACCAAGCCAAAAAGATTCGAATGTTTTCCAATTTTGGGTTTGTGTTGAATTTTAAATCTGATGATGGCGCTGTTGTCTCGCCGATTTCACTCAAAAAGAATTTAATGTTTTCCAATTTTGGGTTTGTGTTGAATTTTAAATCTGATGATGGCGCTGTTGTCCCGCCGAAACTTAATATGAAATAAACGATATAAAATCTTGAAAATATTGAAAAAATCGCACTTGATTGAATTTTTCTAGGTATGGAGGCACCCATGGCGACGTTCCTACCACAAAAGACGGAAAGCGCAATGGGAAACCGATCCGAATTATTGTCAGCTGGTGCGAGAAATCCCGCCTTATGATCGACATCGCCGACTGTTTGATTTGATGGACATGTCCGTTTTCGATTTCCTTATCGGAAATATGGATAGGCATCACTACGAAACATTCAGGTGAATATTCCGGACAGATTCCGAAATTTTTCATCTCGAAACGTTGTCATCAAAAGACAATTTTCCAAAGTGATTTGAATCGACCGATTCCACTTGAAATCAATCTTCGATAAATGCCGCTGTTTGAGCATTGATTAAACTTGGGTCTAATTGGTTCCAGATTGTTTGGCAACGATACATTCACGCTCCACCTGGACCACGGGCGCGGTTTCGGAAAACCCTTCCACGATGAAATATCGATATTGGCCCCCTTGCTGCAATGCTGCCTGATTAGGCAATCGACATTGGAAATTTTAATAAAGTAAGTGCAAATTTTGATCACTAAAGCTCGGATTTAAAGGCAGGACAATTTGAAGAAAAAGGCGCCTATATAGGCAAGGATTTA